TATTTGTTTTGTTAATAAAAGTTCTATGTTTTATATATATGCTAAAGTGAGTTTGACGTTGTATTTTGTTGTTGCATTCAAGCAATTGACGCCTAACTGCCGCTAATTCAAAAGTGAAAGTAAAATGAGCACGGCGCTTTTAACCTATTTAAAAGTGACGGAAAGCGAGGAAAAGAGGGAAAATTCAAACGAACTAAAAACGAACAATTGCTTTACGCCGAATTGCCGCTATTTCAAAGTGAAAGTAAAATGCGCACGCCGCTTTAACAAGCTATTTAAAAGCAAAGGAAAGCGAGGAAAAGAGGGAACGTCCCCGCCCCCACGGTGATACCGGTATTATCGGTGTTGTCACACGTCGATTAACCGGTGGGAAAATGTCCTCACCGTCACAACCCTAGCATACAGCTGACAAAACCTCATTACAATTTAGCGGTTTCATAAAATTTCCGATTTTTGTTCGCTTGCATCATGAACTATGATAATGCCAACAGGATTTGGCTAAAACCAAAAGGCAGTTCTCTCAATTTTCATTGGCAAACACATTTGACAAAAATATATTTTTGAACATGAGGGGAAAGTGATAATTACGGCAATTATCTAACTAAAAGACGATGACTTAATTGTCATTATAACAAAAATAAAGGAATCAAAATATTCAACGTTTTAGAGCTGCTCTTTTAGCTTTTAAGGCAGTGAGAGAGGAAACCATTTAGACCAGTCTGACTGCTGAATTATGTGGCGACCCAACAAACATGAAAAAGACACTGTGAGCTGACAGTAGATGTTTTTTTTTTTTTGGGAGTACCAGGAGAGCCAGTGCATGCAGTAGGGACACACTGCAGACTCAGTTGGAGGCGGAATAAGACGACAGGTATGACTGTACCTTTGACTGTTCAAATTATCATGATCATTTCAGTGTTATGCATGTAACATTTATGAAGACATTTTTTAGCCAATTAGAAATAACTAGCTCAAAGTTAGCTTAAACTAACAGAAAAAAATGGAGAAAAACAATATCAAATAAAAACTAAGATAAAAGTAAGTACCACGGAAAGTGACTCAAGGGACACTGTACGTTTCCACTGACATACTGTGATTATTCCCCAAATAAAAGTCGAATTTAAAACTTGGCAGAGGATTTTAGAGCAGTGGGAGCTTTGGGGGAGGAAGACAATTCAGCAAATCATGTGAACAGCTCTTACCTTTGGCAGTCTGATGGTAGGTAACCCCCCATCTAGAGAGGTAGACTGTTTACTCACTCAAAGAGAGAGGGGAGTTATCCAAATGAGAATGAAAGTATGTTCGTTTCTCACCTTTCTTCACCTTCTTCTCCTCATCCTCACTGCCGGCGCCCAAGAGGGTGAAAATTATTCCAGTCTGAGAATTCAGGCCCACGGCAGAGACCACCATTCGGCCAGATCCCTCCATCACATGAGTTCCTGAGAGAAAGCAGAAGGAATGGTCGTGATGATACTAGTCAACAGTCCCATCATCATCATCATATCAGTGGAATTTCATTTTTCTTGATAGCAATTTCAATATCAAAGCAATAACTAGCATAAAAACTGACAGTAACGGAATTGCAATTACCAGCTTAGACATTCTTTGAGCAAAGTCAGTGATAAAGCTAATTCAACTCAGTGAATGGTTTAGTATTTTCTAGTCAGTACTACTATTTGATTAATATAAATAAACTGTGTGATTTTTAATTTAAAAAAAAAATGACAGTAGCATGGTAGACACTAGGGGCTAAAGCTAAAGTAAGGTATTAAATCCGACATCATGAGTCAATGTTTCCAGGTCTAAATGCTCTTCTGAATCCCAAAAGCAAACAACAAACAGTGCTAAAATATAGTCACTTTGTACAGAAGATCTACTGAATAAAACATGATCCTAACCTTCATCTCCATAACAAAAATCTCAGCTGGCAGAGAGTGATTCATCTTTTCTGATTCATTACAATATTGGTGTTTGGGATACCATGAGCCCAGAGACTGTACTGTAAACCATGAGTTTTAAAGCTTAAAGGTGTGCTATAAATTAATATTGCTCATCAACAGCTTTTGAGAGAGTATTCCCATTTAAGATGAAGCAGTCTTGGACCCAGAAATAGTATTGTCACACCTTAACAAGCGGTTTGTGTGCTTGAGCAAGGCACTTAACACCAAGGCTGCTCTAGGGGGATTGTTTCTGTAGTGAACTGTAAGTTGCTTTGGATGAAAGCATGTGCTAAATGACTGCTTACGTTCTAAATGACAATACTTCAAACAAAAGCAAAGCAGCTGAGTGGCTTCAAAAAAAAAAAAAAAGAGTAAGGCCTTCATGTCTATTCCACTGAAGTGGGGTCCAAAAGTTATTTGATATCATTTCAAAATTACAAATTATATTACCAGAATAATAATTTGACAGGAGAACAAAAAACATGTTTGATTATAAATGTTTAAAAACATGTATATTTAAATGTTTTGCTTTTAATACTTTGTTGTCGGTTTTTTTTTTTCCATATTTAATCCGAGATTGTGGCCTCTTTTGTGCCCTACAACAGAAGTTAACAAGGGGATGTAACCAAGGAAAAAAGACAATCTATCTCACCAGAAAGGAGCATGGGGTCCTTCTCCAGAGATTTGCGGACATGATCGGACTCCCCAGTCAGAGAGCTTTCATCAATCTTCAGGTCGTTACCCTGGATCAAGATACCATCAGCTGGGAGAAGGTCACCTAATGGAAAAGAACATGGGATGGTGAATGACTGTGGGATGACTTGGAGACAGAGGAAGAGAAAGACACATTCAGTAATTCAGCAAGAGGAGAGGAGCAGAGGCTGATTTGGAGACCATGACGACAGATCTCTCCTGTGGCTCTTGGACACCCTACGCGTCGCCCACGTTGCAGGCACCATGAGCAGCAGCGCAGTGACTCACGCAAGCCAGTAAGCATGAGTCATGAGCCATGCTTTGTGTCTCAGAGAAGACTGGCAGTCACATATGATCCATCAAAACCGCTGATGAATTCAATGAGGAACTCACCTCTTAGGTTTAATAAAAAGGCAAAGGGTTCTGGGGGGGGAAACTAAATGCCACAGCACTCATAAAACACAAATATTGCTGGATACAGTGACGTGTCACATCTAGTTCCGTCACACTGTGGAGATAAATCAACAGGTTTACACCATATTTCCTCTGTTCTCAGACGTGAACTCTCACCGTATTTGATTTGTGCAATATCTCCCACAACGATTTCAGCCACTGGGATCTGGATAACCTGGCCCTTGCGGATGACGGTGAACTTCTGTTCCTGCTCGATGCGGCTCTGCAGCCCACGGAACTGCTTTTCTTTACTCCAATCGTTGAAGGCGGTCACCAGCACCACGATAATGACTGAGAACAAGATGGCAGCACCTTCGATCCAGCCTGCCTGGGCCTCCCCCTCATCCTCAATACCCCCGGATGCTTGGCCACAGCCTGGAATTACATAGACACCAAGAGAAAATCAATCACTTACAACATCCTGTGCAAAAAAAAAGTATCTCACCAATCTAAACTAACCGTAACCTTCAAACAGGTTCATACAACCTTTAGAGACCATTAAGGGTCCAAGCAATAACAACAGCAGCTACACGCTCATGTTTTTATCAGAGTCTCCTTTTTGGAAAGTTTCCTCTTGCCAGAAACATGTTTTATTGCAAATTTACACTTCATTGACCTAATTTCCTCCTGGAGAACTTGATGACTGTCTAAGGTCATCCTTGTGGTTTGAGCCATATGGGTAATAGGAAAAGCCTGCAGTCGCAGCCAAATTCAAGTTCTCCGGCATTCAGAGCGGTGCTTTTGAACAAAAGTCCCAAATGAGGCCGTTATTAAAACATAAGACGCCAAAATGTTGAGTCACTAATAAAGTCGCAAAAACACTAGACTGCTTTCTGGACAGTACAAAAAAGGCCTTAGCTTTCCATAGATCATTAGAGTTTGTGATCCAAAGCTACCTAAACCTAACCAAGACTATTCAAAAAAGTTTGGGATCAAAAGTTTAGTTTTTTTTTTTTTTTAAGCTAGAATGCATTAAATAGATCAAAAGTGACAATCAGGACGTTAATAATGTTATTCTGTTGCTGTTCTTGTCAACTTTCTATTTATCAAATAATCCTGAAAAACAATGCATCACAGTTATTAAGCAGCACAACAGTTTTCAGCATTGACAATAATGCTTCTTGAGCACTAAATCAACATAATATGATTTCTAAAGGCTCATGTGATGCTGAACACTGGAGGAAATTCGGCTGAAAATTCAGCTTATAAACATTATAATAATTCAAATAAAAACAAATATTTTCATTTGTAAAAAAAAAAAAAAAATAAATAAATAAATCACATTATTGCTATTTTAACTGTATTTTTTATTAAATAAATGCTTTGGTAAGCATAAGACACTTCTTTGAAAACCATTCTTCTTTGAAAAATCTTACCAGCAAACTTTTAAAGAGAAGCGTATTTTGCATTTTCAAATTTTAGTTTAGTTAAAATTGGTTTTAACAATGGTTTTGATAGTTAAAGTTTAGTATTCATTTTTTTTTTTTTTTAGATTTCGGTTTTAATAATAATAGTCAAGCAATCACTTCAGGAACCAGCAGAACAATGTCACTAAAGCAAAGACGACTTTTATTGAAAAAAAAAAAATGCATCTGTATCTGAACTGTTAGCAACATATTAGCATCTGCTAATTAATGATTTCAGTTTATTTTGAAATTTTAATAGGTAGTTTGAGAGTGGGAAAATAATTAAAACAATATTGAAACAAGACTTCTTAAAAACTCTGTTTAAAGCCACTACTTACTGTCGCTGCCTTCCCCCTGTGGGTGGTAGAAGGACAGCCCGAGAGAAATAATGGCTGCCACCTCCAGAATAATGAGGGTGACGTCCTGCAGGGCCTCCCATACCAACTGCAGAAAGGTCTTGGGCTTCTTGGGGGGGATGAAATTTTTACCAAACACCGCATGGCGCTTTTCCAAATCAGCAGGGTTACCAGAGAGTCCTGCAAAATATACAAACAGAGTTATTATTATTATTATAAAAAGCATAGTTTTGACTCTGAAATTTGATTTGATTATACCTGTTACTGTACCTCAACAGAATTAATATTAATGCAACAGGTCTATTTCTATGCAATTGAACTGTTACTAAACCCAAGTCTCACTGCTTTATATATACACTGGGTCACCAATATGAGGTAAAATTATCTATCTGATACCTTCAAAAGAGGTATTTTGAATCAGTGATTGAACTGTACACACTTGAAACAAGTAGTCCTTTCAACCTACATTCAAAGTTCCACCTTATTTGTACCATGTTTGCCTTTTAGACCACAGTGGTCACAGACAAATGAGATGTACTGATAGTAGCCAGTGCCATTTGTTTTTTTGTTTTGCATACATAATTCAAAACAATCCTTAAAAAAAAAAAAAAAAAAAAAACTCAGAAGTGACAAGGACAGCAAGCCATCTAAACGCACACCCTGATTCATTTAATATGGAAACAATTAAGCATGCCTGGCTGGCACCTATGAATTTTAAAACGCTCTCCATGCCATGTCAACTTTCATCAGTGCTTTCTGTGGTAGATGGTGTTGGAAGAGTCATCGCGCACATTCATGGGGTTATTATTTTAACACACACACACACACACACACAATAGAAGCAGTCAGATATTTCTGCATTTCAGGTGGATTATCATGGATATGTGTGTCAAGGTTTATAGGAGCAATGGAACAATTAATCAGTGTTGAGAGCCTGGAGTGCTTGTAGCCGATAAGCCCAGAATATTGAATGAGTTTTAGCCTTTGCTTTAATCAACCAGAAACTAGTACATGGGGTTTGGGAGGGTTTGGGCAAAATATACATTTCTTTAAATGGATTTCGCACAGAAACCATTTTGAAACCAGGTTAGTAATTTTTCCTCTTTTATCTGCCTATACTTGTGATTTCTTCCCCCCACTTACTTAAAAAAAAAATGTGCCCTGGCAAGATGTCCTCTGCTCACAATCAATCCTCATTAAAAAATTGCAGACAGATCAGATATGATGGACTGCTTTCTACCAGCAGCAGGTCTTTGAAAAAACACTGAATCTTGTCAGTATCGCTAAATAAATTATTATGCAACAGAGGCACATGGGAGACGGCGAGAGCGTGTGCACATTCTTCCTCAGAGACGCAGCTGTCGACTGACCAGTCTGTTGATGATTGACACTGCAGCAAGGCTTCCAGGGGGACAGAGAACAGAAAGCTAGCAGCTGAGATTTTAGATAAGAACCAGAGGATAGATACAATAAGAGCTTGGCCATATGGAGGATCATGGGCACCATTGGGAGGGGGGGGTCAGTTGCCCCGAAAGCAAAAGCAATTAAAATATCTGGCAAACTATCTAACGTGTTTTTGCAGCATTGAGCAATGTAGACAATCAAAGACATATCAGTTGATTTCTTCAACGCAATGGTCAATCAGAAACATTCGAGTTTTCAGAATTCACTCACCACTGAAAGAGCCGGAGTTTTGCATGCTCGCGAATCATCTCATGACTAAGTGTATACGCGATGTAAATACGAGATTTATTGTGTAGTTTAGAGAGCTTGATTATAACGGAACTTTGTGAGATCGCGATGAACTTTGATGAGTGACTCTTTTAGTGATAATAAAGGGAGCGCGCTTTGTGTGTTTTCTAGGCTACAAATCCATTCAGAATTTAAATGAAACTTTCGTTTTTCGGACACATACATGCTGCAAAGTTTCGGGAATTATGCTGGATTCATTCTCGAAATATCAGCGATAAGCAACGGATGGGACAAAAATCCCTAGGTGATTACTCTGGACTCTTACTTAAGCCCAATTTATACTTCTGCGTTGAACCTACGCCTTAGCCTATGCATAGACGCACACCCTACGCCGTAGCCTGACGTGCACCTCTCCAAAAATCTAACAGTGCATCAATTCTACGCGGACCGCAAGCGCTGTGATTGGTCTGCTAGAACCCCTCCCTCCGTATGTACTTTTGTATGTAGTTTTGTGTGTGTTTACGTGCACTTTAACATATTTACATGTTACACCTTCTTATATAAAATAAAACAAAGCAAAGAACAAGTGTCTTATCATTTATTATACTACATAGCATTATACATCAGTAGTTGTCCGCAACAAACAATGTTGATCTGCCGTGGTACAAGTCCTTGTGCAGATTGAAAGAATG